ATCAGAAAAAAAGTGATGGGGAGATGTGGGAGGAGTTAGAGAGAAGGGGGTGGGCATGGATTTATTTGATCAAAACAGCTTATATGCATATATAAAATTCTCAATAAATTATTTACAAAAATAAACTACATGCAAATCTATGAGTAGAAAAGTTTAAAATTCTGCCAAAATATCTTTGTACATTTCTAAATAAACATATTTCATATGAAAAAAAATTGTATATTAAACAGAAGAAAAAAAAAACCTATATGAAGATACTTTTGTACTTTTGTTATTCCAGCTTCCTAAACTGAAAACATCAAATGATGTGTGATTGTATCATTAAAAGTCAGAAGTCACCTTGAAAATAAAAAAGAACATGGTTGCTGTTGCAGAAGACCTGGGTTTGGTTCCCAACACCCACATGGTGGCTAACAACCACCCATAACTTTTCTGGTTTCAGTGGGCATTACACACACACGAAGCACTTAAATACACTCATACACATAGTGTATGAGGCAAAACACTCATACACATAGAATCAAATAAAAACATTTAAACTATGGGTTTTCCATCTTTTCCCCTGCAGTCTAGAATGCCATAAACACAGGAAGGGTCTCTGTGAAGAATGTGCTTTAGGGTTTGGATACATGGCTCAGCACTTAAGAACACTTGCTGTTCTTCCAGAGGACCTGAGTTCAATTTCCAGAACTCACATGGAAGCTAACAACCATCCATAACTCCAAGTCCAGGGGATCCAATGCAGGACTGGCCACTGTGGGCTTTCCAGGACACAGGGACATTTACATGCAGGCAAAGCACTCATACACATAAAATAAAAATAATAAATAAAAATACTTTTTAAAAATAATCTGGTTTGCTGTTGTCATTTAGTTTTTGAGACAGGGTCTCATGTAGCCCAGGCTGGCCTCAAACTTACCCTCCTGCCTCTGCCTCCTAAGTACTGGAATTGTAAGATTGCATCACCATGTCCAGATAGAATCTGTGGTTGTTTTTTTTTTTTTTAAATCCTCTTCCTCCCTGAGGTGATTCTGTCAAACAATCTTAGGAACCTTTATACCAACAGCTATTTATTTATCATTTCTGTAAACATTGTCATGGATACTTTGTTATCACCTGCCCAACACAGCCTGCCACACAGCTCCCTATCCCCAGGGTGCCCTGTTGATGGACTCTACCCATTTTCTTATTATTCTCTACTCCACTTTGTCCTCCCATCCTCACCTACCAATCAACCTGTTCTCTGCTATCTGTCCAGTTTCAAAGGCCTGAGGGAATGGCGATACTTGAAAGCTTTGAACAAAAATTGACCTGCTAAGTTTCCTAATGTGATGCTTAGGGATATTTCCTCATAAGTGGTATAAACTAGTGAAAGTCATCCTAAATCATCTCAAATCTAGCCCTGAAGGAGATGTTTTGAAAAGAGAAAACTCTCAATTGTTATTATCACCTACTTGTTGATTGAAGATTTTGTTAAAATGCAGATTCTGTGCTCAGTCCTAAATAGGACATCTGTATCCTCCACTCCGAGGCTCAGGGAATGTTTCAGAAGAGGGTCCAGTAAGGAAGGTAAAAGCAGGAAAAAGTGGTGGCAAATTGTAGAACACAGTCTTCCTGCCATGACATGGCCATTGTACACTTGAAGTCTTAGCAGCCATTGATTACCTGCAGAAGACCTGCAAAAGATATAAGAGATCATGACCTGGGACTAGAAAGGTGGCTCAGTGATTAAGAACACTAACTGCTCTTGCAGAGGACCCAAGTTCGATTCCTAGCACCCATGTGCCAGCTAACAACCATCTGTAACACCCTCTTCTGACCTCCGTGGGCACTGCACAACATGGGTGCACCCACCTACATGCAGGCATTACACTCATACATATAAAATACAAATAAAATTAAAAAGAAAATATCATAACCTTGGATCAATTTCAGCACTGCAGCACCTATCTGACACTGGGATAAGACAAGGTCACTCTTGTTCTGACCTAAAAATAGAATGATAGAATGATGTTAAATTTCTCTCTCTCTCTCTCTCTCTCTCTCTCTCTCTCCCATCTGGGAGGGACATTACATTGTGATTCCAGTCACTTTGATAACTAATAAAATGTCTGAAAGCAGATCCTGAGTTCTTAACTCTTTTTATTTATTTATTCATTTTTATTTTTATTTATTTATTTATTTTTGGCCTTTTTGAGACAGGGTCTGTGTGTGTGTGTGTGTGTGTGTCTTAGCACAGACGGGGAGGTCAGTTCACATCTTGTGGGGGTTGATTTTCTCTTTCTGCCATGTGGGCCCCAGGGAGCAAACTCAGGCAGTCAGTGTTAGTGGCAGGCATCCTTACCCACTAAGCCATCTTGCTGCTGCTCCTAATAATACATTTTTTAAAATGAAAGAGAGATCATGAACTGAAAGTTGAATATAGTCATCCATCAGCATCCATAGGAGATTGGTTACCGCGCCCAGCCTCATTTTTATTTTTATGTGTTTGAGTGTTATACCTGCATGTATGTAAGTGCACCTGTGTCGTGCAGTACCGAGGAGGACAGAAGAGGACATAGGATCCCCTGGGAGGAAGCAAAAAAAAATAAATAAGAGAAGCCAAAAGATGAATACTCTTGTGAACCCATCAAGAGATTATAATGGACATTGATTTGGACATTTAAAAAATATCCTATGTTTTGGCTTCTCTTGGCTCTCTGCCTAGGACTTGTAATGCTCACAACTCTTGCCTTTACTTTTTCTCATGTCTCTTTCCAGGCATCAGTCAACGACTTCCTCTTCTCCCCACATCCGGCAGTTAGAGAACTAAAACCACTGATCCATTTGGGGGTCTTTTAGATAGGCTCACTGAAAGGGTCCCCAACTCCCACACCCAATGCCTCCATTCAGTATTGGGATCATTGCCCCAATTCCCTTAGGACAATGAGGGTTACCTCTTCAGAGGGGGAAATGATGAGAAGAGCAGGTAGAAACTGGACACACAGCTCAAAGCAGAGGCCCCCAAGGTAGCAGGTCCAGAAATGTCCTTGGTTCTCTGGTCAGGAATGCCAGAAAGAAACTCTGGATTTTTATCTCCTCCGAAGCAAGCATCCTGTCTAAAAACAAATCACAAGGATGAGGACTAGAACACTAGTCCAGACTTTGATCTAGTCTAATAAACAGTTTGGTAAATGCACCTCTAGATTTTCAGGGTGAAAAAGGATTATTTAGATAGGCTGACTAGACCTCAGTAGATGAACTTGCACTGAGGGACATTGGTCTACACTAACTTGACTTGATAGGCCTTAACATATATGACAGAATGTGTGAAATCTGGTGGGAGGGTTATGAGGAGGGATATGGATGAGCAAGGGGCTGTAAAGATGATTAAAGTATTTTGTATTAAATGCAGAAAAATTCAATTAAAATATACATTAAAAAGAAAATGGATTATTTATTATTTCCCAATTTCAGCCCATCTTGATTGATTTTAGGGTTACCTCTTAAGAGGGGGAAATGTTAAAGAATGGAATCTGCCTCTAGATGGAGGCATGCCATTGCTTCCTCCCTTAAGAGTTAATCCACTTGACCCTCTCAATGGGAGGGAACTCGCAGGTGGCACTAAATATATAGCCAAATACATACGGCTGGAGAGGTCATAGATCCTACAGAAAACTCTGTTACATCTCTAGACAAATGAAATGTCTTACTGTATGCTAAAAATGAATCCTTATACCTTCAGACAAGTATACTATACACTACTCATCAAAGATGTTTCTTTTTGCAACAGATTATGGCTATTATAGAGTTCCAGAACTCGTCACACACAGAGAATATATCTCTGAGAGATGCCCAGCCCTAAGTGACACATCTACAGTGAAATCTCTACACCTAAGGTTCATGGAACAAAGCAGAACAGGAAGTAGAGAGAATACTAATAGATCCCTCAACTCTCACCAATGAAACTTCCTCATACAACAGAGTGTAATGCACACAGAAGGTCACAACTGGCTATGTTTTAGAGAATAAAAGACTGCAGAGTGCGTGTCCCTGGATACGATTCCTATACTGAACCTCTCACCTGAGGGACCATTGCGGAAAAGGGTGTGGAAAGATTGTAAGAGCCGGGGTGGTGCATGAACATAAGGAAACAGGCTTTCAGGCCACTGGGAACTTGTGCATATGAATTTTCAACAATGGTGACAGCATGCACAAGTCCCATGCCAACTGAATCAGACAGAAACCCAGCAAAAAACAAGGGAAATGAGCAGTAGACCCCAACCCTAGGTTAGGAACTTTTGGCAACTGATTACTGCTGGGTGAGGGAGAGTAGATCTTCTTTAAGGGAGAGATTCTAAATAGGCTGACTAGACTCTAGTGGATGAACTTGCACCAAGGGACATCTGGGTAGAAATGCTTGACTGGAAAGGACTTAACATATGACAGAATGCATGAAATCTGGGGGGCTAAGTAGGGTCGTGGATGGAGAAGGGGGTCTAAATTTGATTAAGATCTATTATATGAAATGCACAAAAACAATAAAAATATATTTTCAAAAGAGTTAATCTACTTGGATGGCTCCATGATCTGCCCAAGGGACCACCCTTCAGGAAAGCAGGACCACCACTAGGAAAGCAAGCTCACCTTAAGTCATGCTAAAGAGATAGAAAGGATAATTATTCCTTTAATAAGATATTATACTTTCCTACCAGAATTCCTGCCCCTTAGCACAGTTCCTACAAGCCCATCATGAAGTTCAACTAGGTCTGCCCAACTTTCTGAGTCCTGACTCAAAAAGGTACAAGTCTTCCTTTTTATTTTTCCTGTCTCTTTCTTTTGGAGGCTGGCTGGAAACTAAATATACTTTTTCTGGTCCTTTGGGCCCCTTTACTCTTTCTCTAAAGTCTCTCTCCCTGCCATGTCTAACCTCCATGCTGGCTTAACTCAAACTGTATTTTTTCCCCTTTCTGTTCTTCATTCCTCTCCTCTGGGCAACAGTTGAGACTTAGAGTTTCTGGACCCTGGGATGTTTTGCTTTCAAATGCTAATAAAATTGTTCTCCAACTTCAAAACAAATGAACAAACAAACAAACAAACAAAAAGATTGAGTCCATCAACCTTCTGCCATGGAGAGAAGCTCAGGAGACCATGCCATCCCTGAGCTGTATTCATAGGCAGCTAGCAGTGGCTAGGGGGAAGGATCACAAAAGCCCACCTCTTTCTGAGGCTGCTAATGGTTGCTGGGTGGGGCATTTTTTCAGTGTTCTGATGGTCTAGCCACTGGTAACATGTCTATACGCCTATAAATAACCCCTTGCCTATACTCGTATAAGCAGTCATTATTAAACTCACTGTGTCACCAAAACAACAACAAAAACAAAAAATGTTAGGAGCTAGGGAGATAAATTCATCAGTAAAATGCCTGCTGCACAAGCATGAGGATCTGAGTTCAGATTCTGTAGGGTTATTCATTTGTAACCCTAGTATAGTGGGGCAGAGACAGGCAGATCCCTGGCATTCCCTGGCTAACTACTCTAGCCAGTCAGTGAGTGCTGGGTTCACTGACAGACCTCAGAGATAAGGTGGAAGATACTAAAGAATTTAACCTCTGCCCTTCACATGCCTGCGCATATACAGGCACGCGCGTGCGCGCGCACACACACACACACACACACACACATACACGCAATAAGTTTTGACTAAACAGATGAAGTAGAAGGAGCCGTTTGGGAAAATGGAAAGGATCAGTAGAGAGGGAATAAATGAGGGCAGGGGGAAAATATAATAAAAATACAACACATACACATATGAATATGTCATAATGAAGCCCATTATTACATATAATTAATATATGCCAATAACAAATTTTAAAATGCAGATTCTGCTCCCTTTTTCTTGACTTCAGGGGATTTTGGGGAGGGGGGAGTGTTGTAGATGGAATCTCCCTATATAGCCCATGCTGGCTTTGAGCTCACTATATAGCCTAGGCTAGCTCCAAATTCACCATCCTCCTGCCTCCTCAGGAGTGCTGAGACATAAGCTAAAGGTGTGTGTGTGTGTGTGTGTGTGTGTGTGTGTGTGTGTAGATTAAATCCACAGCCTTGTGCATTTTAGGCCATCACACAACTGCCGAGCCTCATCCCTAGCTAAGACTCTGCTACCTTATATAGTCAGACCTCCATATCCATGGCTTCTGTATCTGTAGATTCAACCAACTTCAGATAAAAAGGAAATGCATCTTCACTAAATGTGTACAGACTTTTTCCCTTGTCCTTGCTTCCTGAACATTACAGCAAAACAACTAGTTGCATAGCATTTCCACTGCACCAGGTAATGTAAGGCAATCAGAGATGATGTCAACTCTAAGGGAGACCATGCATAGAACAAATATACTGTTCTATGTGTACAGTATATCATTTGGCAGAAGGGTCTTAACCATTTGGATTTGGGGTATCCAGGGATCTTGACATCCATGAAGTGCCCTAGAATGTGTCTTCCACGTAGGCTAAAAGGTAGCTAAGTTGTATGGAAGGGTCTGAAATTGTATCTCTAACAAGCTTCAGGGTAATGGGAGTCTGGGAGTCCAAGGTCATTTTGAGTGTCAGGAGTTACAAAATGGTGAACAGATCTCATCTGAAACTTTCCAACATCTAGACTCCAAAGTGATCACAAGCATCCTAACGCCCCAAGAAAGAAGCCTGTTCTCAGTACACACATACCACACACAAATACAAAATCCAAGTCTTTCAACAATTTAAATGTATTATTTTTATCGAATTTTTGTGCATTTTGTACAAAGCATCTTAATCATCTTTATAACTCCTCCTCTTTCCCCACTTGGACAGCTCCCCCCCACCATATCCTGCCCCATCAGATTGCATGCATTCCGTCATAAAAGTTAAGGCCTATCGAGTCAAGTTACTGTACCTAGACATCCCTCGGTACAAGTTCATCCACTGGGGTTTAGTCAGCCTTCTAGAGTCTCTCCCTTAAAGAAAATCATCTCTCCCTCACCCAGCAGTGATCAGTTGCCAATAGTTCTTTGGCTATGGTTGGGACCTGCTGGCCATTCCCCCAGTTCTATGCTGGGTTTTTGTCTGATTGAGTTTGCATGGGTCTTGTGCATGCTGACACCATTGCTGTAGGTTCATATGAGCAAGATCTCAGGAGCCTGTAAGACCCTCTTTCCATATGGTCATGTGGCTCTTATAGTCTTTCTGCTCCCTCTTCGAAATGGTCCCTGAGCCCTAGGTGCACGAAGTTATTTTTAAAATCATTATTTTCTGCAAGGTAAGACACAGATGGCAAAGAGCTTCAAGTACTTATTTATTTATTTATTTACTTATTTACTTATTTACAGGATCTCCTGTATCCTAGGCTGGCCCTGGTCCTTGCTATGCAACAAAGGATATCCTTGAATTTCTGATCCTCCTGTCTTCAACCCTTGTTCCCCCATAGTGCTGGGATTACAGGAGTATACCACCACACCTGGCTTTTTAAATTATGATTCAGTTACCATAAAATATAAACAGAAGTAAATACGTTTGTCTTGCACATGATGGACCACACAGAATCATTAAAATAATGGTTGACAACACAGTGACCCCGGAAACACGGGATTTCCATTAATCCATGTGGTACTTTAGCTCCCCCAAGTTTAAAAGCTTTTGGAAACATTCAACTGGCTATGGATGTTAATGTTCCATCAGCAGTTAAAGCGCAATGTGTTACACTCAAAAAAAAAAAATATGAACTGAATAGCTGGGAACAAATGAGCAGTCATTGTAGTCAGAAATTCAAACAGCAACCTGTCTATAAGACACTGGTCTCTACAAAATCACGGGCTGGTCAACAGCTTTAGACAGTGCTAATTCCTTAGTGGTGATTGTCTTTAGGAAGAAGAGCACCATCTGAGTGTGTGAGCCTGCAGCTTCTACGGACATTGATATTGAGAGTGACAAATATATTACCTGACTTTTCAGCTCTACCTACCCATAACCTGGGAAAACTGTCTCTGTCATTGCAGAGATTCAAAGCTGCTGGCCAGGGCAGCTGAATCTTCCGGAACACAGCACGGTATTTGGTTTTTGTTTCTTTTTATTTGCTTTATTTTTTT